ATCCCTCCTCAGGGCCAAAGAACACAAGGAGCTCTTTTGCATTTCTGGAGGGACTCTTTCAGCCACAAAGGATTAAATCTGCAGCAGAAGGACCCAGAGAGGGGAAGGGACTTCTTCAGTCCACTTGTTTCCCCACTAAAACACCCTCCATATTGTGACCCTCACCCTAAGGGATGAGACACGACGTCTGAATAGAAATACCACTGGGGAGAAAAGAGCGAAGAAGCCCCTTCCCCTCACTAAACTGCAGCTTCCCTGGCTGCATTTTGGGCAAGGGGAAAAAACAACAACAACTTCAGAGAGAAAAAACCCAGCATGCCTCTGTATCCCAGCTACTCTTTCTTCCCCTTAGAACCAGGAAATGCTGAACACCCCCTAGCTCAATTCAGGATCGGTGGGTTGTCTTATCAGCATTTCCAGGAAGCCTTTCTTTGTAGGTGGGACACCCCTGATCTCTTTTCAGAGACTCTTCCTGGCTTGCAGTGCTGGTGCACGCACACAAATGGGGCCTGGACACAGATTCACCCCACAGCAGAGAGCGTCTTCGGATGTCAACTGATTCTGCCTCAAAATAAAACAACAGAGATCAAAAACGATAATAAAAGGTTCTAGAACTAGGATGAACAAGCAGGGGTAGACTGCCCACCAGGTGGCCCTAGGTGTTTGCAGGGAGCCCCAGGGGCACTAAGAGAGCAGAGTTCTGTGGCAACCCCAGCCCAGGTATAACTCTGCTTGGAACTGCAATGTTCAGTGTACCTTTGGGGGTTGATCTGCTGAATGCTGACCTTCTGTGAAGGAATGTCCAAATTGGAAGGGGCGAGGCGGTCACGTGGGTTGGTTTTTCTGCTATTTGGACTTCCTTCCCTCCCCCAATACTAGTTCCAGAATCTCTTCACTCCCCAGCCAGGGTGACACTTACGAGCAGGTCTTGGCTTTCCTTCTCCACATCTTCTCTATATGCCACAATTCTTTCTCTCTTTTTCTTCAGACTCTCCACACAGCTGCAGAAGTGATCCTGGGGGGGGGGGGGAACCAAAACAGATTTTTTCCCCCCATTTAAGAAGTTTACTATAAAACATACAAGAAACAAAACTGTCATTAAGGGCCAGACTAGATATAACTGCCCCATGTCCGTAACAGGAACTTCAACAACATTTCTCCAAAGCTAAACACAGCGACCTTTCTCATGGGAAGGGTGCCCCACTTCAATGCAGAAATATTCCCAGTGGCCACACTGCTTCCTCTGGGGAGACTGACTCCACGCTTTGCCCACCGTTCTACCCCGGCCACAGGACAGGTTTTTTTACATTTACATTTACATTAACAAAATATTATACATAGTATATCACTATGCCGTGTTAACACAGCAGAAATATACCCTGTAGTGACAATTCTTTAGAAAACAGTTAAAAGCTCACTGGACGACACACACAGAGACAGGCACCAAACCCACAGTAACTGAAATTGGGAAAGCAGTGTGTGCATGTGTGGGTGTGTGTTAAAACTGGGAGTCAGGCAGCTGCCCCCTCCTAGCTCAGCCCTGCCATAGGTTGGTCAGATGTTCACACAGCCAGAGAGGAAGGGAGTCCATCTCCCCATCACCCCACTTTAGCCTCAGCAGGGGGGCAAGGAGGCAATGCCCAAGGGAGCCACCTAGCCGGGAAGGAGGCAGCAGAGAGACCAAGAAGACGAAGGGGAGGATCCAGGGCTCTTCCTCACCATCCTCCACACTGTTGACTTCCTACCTTGTACTCTTCGGAGGCCTCCTCGAGAGGAAGGGTTTCATGATCTTTGTGCTCCTTGGATCGGTCACAGACCACACAGATGAGGACTTCATCGTCCTTGCAGAAGAGCTTCAGCGACTCCTGGTGCTTCTGGCAAACTCCCTCTTTTCCGGCTGTCACCACTACCTGATGTGTGAGAGAGCTGTAGGAGGGGTACTGAAGAAAAAGAGAGTTGTGAGGGAAAGGAGGGAGAGGGAAGCCATGTGGGTTCTGGGGCAGAGACCAGGGAAGCCTCAAGAGAGCTGCGGCTGTACCAAGAGCCCCAAGAGGAGCACCAGCCAGCACCACAGACAGCCACCCCAAGCCACAGCAGACAGAGAGGGAGAGACTCGGAGAAGGCCTCAGAGAGACAGGAAAAGACGCTCATTGCCTCTTTGGTTCCCACTTTCAGTTGTGAGGCCTACATTTTATGCGTGTGTCCTGCTCTGATGCCCCTCCCGTCCACTTTGGATTAAACCCTACTTGTATTTTAAGTTCTACCTGTAAATGGTTGCCAGTGACTGGAGTGTCTGGGAACTGTTTTTAAATTGTTTTCTTTCTTTCCTCGATTTATATCCTGCCCTTCCCACAGGATAGGCTTTCGTTCATTGACTTTCAAAAAGAATCGGAGGCTTACTCAAAACTGCTTAGGGTGCCTACTAGCCATCCTCCCTCTTAGGACCCCCCCCCCTTCATCAACAAACTCAAGTCCCATAATGTCTTCCCTCCGCTGGGGTTGGTGGGGGAAACTGGGGTTACACAAGTTGTGATTAAGCCTCCCACTCTTTTGAAAGTCAGTGAACGAATCACAACTCGCAGTCCCAGGTCAACCACATCCTCCCTGCACCTGCTTTAAGCTGCCTTTGCAGTGTGCCAGTGGAGCCCCCAAACACCACCTCTATTCCTTTTTTTTTTCAGTGCACATTCCTGGGGGGCTATGATGACAAACCTCCAAAAGTGGATCCAAATCTGTAAGGCAGTGAAGCTGGACCTGCATGAACACGATGGACCCCAATAGGTTTTTAAGATACCTTTCAGATTAAACTCCAAACCAGAATGTCCACCCTCTCACAAAAAACATCTCCTCCTAGGCGGCCCTCCAGACAACACCATGAACATCACCAACACATGACAATTCTGATACTGGCACAACAAGCTGATAATCATTCTGATGTGAGTTGAGTTTGAATTGATCTGCCCTCCTTGGATCTTAATTCTTCCACATTTAATAATCATAAGAACAGTAATAGTAGTTAGTAGTAAAATGAGACATTCCTTCACATCCTGAATCCACAGTACACAGATACTGGCACAACAAGCTGATAATCATTCTGATGTGAGTTGAGTTTGAATTGATCTGCCCTCCTTGGATCTTAATTCTTCCACATTTAATAATAATAAGAACAGTAATAGTAGTTAGTAGTAGTACACTGGTCACCTGTGGGTTCCTTGTGGTTTCACCTGAAACCCCTTAACTCCCCTCTCTAATTTCTCTGTTTTAAGGACTTCTGCGTTCAGCCTGGGCCTGAGAACACGTTTAGGGCCCTGACTCTGAGACTTGGCACAAAGTTAGCCCTGACCCAGCCAGCAGCGCCAGTTGTGTAGTGTTTGGTTATTGGGAACAACACGCATACTCCTCTCGCCTTCTGCTCCTCCCTTCCTATTCCCAATGATAGATCCACAGTACTAGAAGCCCCTCTTCATTACAGACCCACATTTGGGGGGCTGGGCAGAGGCCTCCTTGGGTAGTGAAACCTCTTGGACTGGCCACGTAGCTCCATCTCAGTATAGGAGGGCCAAGGGGATGGCTACTGAAAATAATGGAAAGGTCTCACCCTAAGTGGGGAGAAATGGGATTCTATGGCACATGATTCTCGGCCTGTTAGTGAAAGGCCAGGGGGGGGCACTGTTACGGAGTGGGCTGCCAGCAAAGGGCGATCTCCTGGTGGGATGGGTTGAGGAAGAGAAGCCATCCCCCACAATCACGATGAAACCCTCCTCCTCAAACACCTACTTTTGATCCCTTTATTACTAGCTGCTGCTTTGCAAGCCACTTTCTGGCCCATGGGGGGGGGGAGCGGTGGAGAGAGGAAATAATATATTATATATTGTATTCAATGTCACATGATATTAAAAGTTACAACCCTAAGCTTGAGAGATCTTTGCCCCAAAGTGAAGTTTTGAGCAGGGCGCCAGAAAGCCTCCCTCCAGAGATTTCTCACCTTGTTGTCTTGGAGAGCCTCCTCGAGAGGAACCACCTCGTGATCCCTGTGCTCCTTGGATACCCCGCAGACCGTGCAGACGGGGACTTCGTCCTCCTTGCAGAAGAACTTCAGGGGCTCCTGGTGCTTCTCGCAGAGTCCCCCCTTCTCTTCCGAAGGACGGAGCTTCTTAATGATCTCCACAAAGTTGGCCAGCTGCCGGTTCGGCCAGAATTTCCTCTTCGGGGCTCTTCCCCTGCACTGGGGGCAGGAAGGCTCGGTCCCGGACTCCTCCCACCTCCGGGTCAGGCAGGCTTGGCAGAAGTTGTGGCCGCACTCGGTGAGGGTCACCGGGTCGCTGAAGAACTCCAGGCAGATGGAGCAAGAGGCTTCCTGGCACAGCTCCTGCACGGGGTCCTCCGCCGCCATGGCCGCCTCGCTTTCTAAGGCAGCGGAGGGGGCGTTTCCCTGCTTGCCAAAATGACACTCTCTGCCGGCGCCCAATCAACGGCCCGGGAAGGAAAGAGCCGCCAGAAGAACAAAACCCCTTGAAAAGAGGAAGAGGAAGCCGACCTTGGGACGGAAACGGCTCTTTTGCATCCCTTTGGCCGGCCTTTGCAGGCGCCGCGGAGGGGGAGACCCTTACCGCGGTACTCCAGGGGATTGGCCTCCTGGGACTTAGGAGAGGCTCCCCTGCTGGGCTTCAGGGGCTGCCGTCAGAGCTTTCCAACAGCTCCCCCCCCCCCAAAAAAAAAGCATCCTGGGAAGGCTTCCCCAAAGACAAGAAAAGCGCTCCGGGGAAATTGGAAGGAATGGGCGGGGCGCAGCAGAACACGTTTCCCGAGGGGACTGACCCCATTCATCTGCTTCTTCCCCATACAACATCCGGTGTCTCATCTCCCCCCCACACCCCTCTTACCTGCGGAAGGGGGGGAGGGGGAGGGCAGAAACGCTCCAATTTCCGCTAGTGAGCGGGCTCAAAGCAAGTAAAGAAGGTCGAATCCTTCGGATGCGATCCCGCGGCTCTGCCTTACCCCTTCACGCTTTCCCACGACAGCGACACGCGTCCTTGTTCCCTGCAAACCCAGATCTGGATGCCGATTCCGGATCCGCAAGGGAGGGCAGAATAGCCTGAGCCACTGCAGACACCGAGAAGGGGAGTCACATTTCTGAAGGCCCCCCCCCCCGCGTTAAAGGAAAGTCCACGCAGGCAGAAAAGCAGCACAGTAGAGAAAGGGCGGAGAATATAACCTTCCTCCCTGAAGGGCTAGTTTTCTACTGGAAAGGCGGGAGATTACTAGGGTTTTAGTTGTGTGTATACAATCTAAGCGGGCAGCCATTTGCAATGTGCCAGTGGAAACCTTTAACCTTTACTTTAGTGGCGCCCCTAAGCCCCCCCCCTCCTTTCTTTCAATGCACATTGGGGGGGGGGGGGCTTTGATGACAAACCTCCAAAAGTGGATCCAAATCCGTAAGGCGGTGAAGCTGGACCTGCATGAATATGATGAACCCTGATCGGTTTTTAAGACACCTTTCAGATTTAACTCCCAACCACAATGTCCACCCTTTCACAGACAGCCTCTCCTGCTAGCTGGCTCTCCAGAGAACAGTCTTCACGTTATAAAGGAAGGACGCTTCTGATACTGGCACAACAGGCTGATATTCAGTCTGGTGTGAGTTAACTTGGGTTTGATTTGGAGTTTTGCTCTCCCTGGATCTTAATTCTTCTATATTTTAAAATACAAGTAATAATCATGATGATAACTTTAATATTAATAGAGACATCCCTTCACATTCTGGATCCATAAGGATTCAGCATGCAGGGCACCTGTAGGTTCTTTGTGGTTTCACCTGGAAACCCCTTAACTCCCCTTTCTAAATTCTCAGGACCTCACAACCCTTATCTCCTGCAGTGCTGTTTGCCCTCAACGAAACCTTTTAGCCTAAACATCTACACGGTCACCATCTTGCTCTTAGTTTAGATCATGGGGAAATACTCAGAGGCTCTGTTTAAGGACGTCTGCCTGCAGCCTGGTGCTGAGAAGAGGTTTTGGGCCCCAGCTCCGAAACTTGGCATAAAGTTAGCCCTGACCCAGCCAGCCTTGCTAGTTGTGTAGTGCTCAGTTTCTGGGAACAAGATGGACACTCCTCTTGCCTTCTGCTCCTTCCTTCATATTCACAATGACAGATCCACAATGCTGGAAGCCCCACTTCTTCAGAGGCCCACATTTGGGGGGCTGGACAGTGGCTTCCTTGGGCAGTGAAACCTCTTGGATTGACCATGCAGCTCCACCTCAGTATGGGAGGGGGCCAAAGGGATGGCCACTGAAAAGAATGGAAAGGCCACACCCCAGGTGGGGAGAAACAGGATTCTATGGCACAAGTTCCTCAGCTAATGGTGGCCTGTCAGTGAAAGGCTGGCGGGGGGGGGGGGGGGGGATACTGAGAGGGCTGCCAGTAATTCACTGCTGCAGGAAGTGGTGGCATCTACAAGCATAGACAGCTTCAAGGGGGGATTGAATAAACATATGGAGCAGAGGTCCATGAGTGGCTATCAGCCACAAGGTATCCTTGGACAATCTGATCCTTGCAGTGTGTTCCCCAGCCCCTACTGCTGGCGGCCATCAGGTAAGGAGGCTGGAGAAAACTGACTCCCCTTGTCAGATTTGATCGTGAAGTCCACTAGTTTAGTGACTTTTTTGTGTGTGGGGGGGCAGCATCTTGACTTATTTGTGCTCCCTTTTTTGTGTGTGTGTGTGTGTCCTTTTGATAAAGGAGAAGAGTCCATTGTAAAGGCCTGGCATGGAAGCAGGCCCAAGGAATCAAATCTATGGAAGACATCCTCAGTCCTAGTAATGTCAACTGGTGCATGAGGTTCACTGACCCCTGCCGGGTTTCTTTCACCCCTTCCAACAGTTTTTCCTGCTTCTTTGCAGGTAGAAACACTTTGGCCGTCCTCGTCTGAATCTTGGCCCTTAAGTGGACCGTGTTCCCTGGCGGGTATGAGATTATTATTATTACTTTAACACTTGGTGCTCACTTCCTCTGCCTCCTAGGCTCTGTAGAGGATATCATCCAGGTAAGGATAAAGGTGGATTCCTTGATGTCATAGGTAGGCTAACAGAACTACCAGGTCCTTGGAAAACACTTTTGGGAGTTGAGATCAGCCCAAAGGGTAAGACCTTGTATTGGAAATGCTGGCCCTGAAAAATCAAAAAAGGGAAGAACTGTCTGGAAGGTGGAATATGCAGGTAAACACCTTGAAGGCCTAAGGGTGTCATCTGGTTGTCCTGCTGTTTGTAGAATGCAGTTCAGTGATTTTAAAAAAAAGCTTTATTAGGTTATTGCATACATTACATAATATCTTGTGAAGCATTTTGCACATTACATAGTAACTTAAAAGACAGTTTGCGCATTACCATAGGATAATAGCTCTCTTGTAATAAAATGATGCAGATTAACATACATACACTGCCAGATCGGCCTTTTATAATCTTCGGCTGGTACAGGGAGCGGTGGTGCAGGCAGTATAACGCCTGCAAAGTAACATCTATAGTGAACAGCCATAATGGCTGTTCGAATCTCCACCGCGGCCGGAGTGAGCTCCCGGCCTTAGTCCCAGCTCCCGCCAACCCAGCGGGCCGAAAGCAGTTAAAAACACCTATGCGAGTAGGCGAATGGGTACCTACCCTTAGAAGGGTAGGGGGCACCTGTCTCTAATGAAAGATCGTGGAGCACGGCGAGTGACGGCAGAGTCATCAGCGGCAAGAAAATGGCGGCGACGGAGCATCTGGCGGTGAAAGAAGGGCGGCGATGCGGCGGCTGCAGCAAGAACAGAGCGATCTCTGGCGGCAAAATGAACACCATGCAGTGCGACGGAGGCGAGAGACTGAGGGGCGCCCGATGACGCGCGGCGCCTGGGAAGGCGGAGCCGACAGGATTGAGCCGAACCAGGAAGCAGAGCGTGAAAGCCGGGCGCCTGCGCAGTCCCGCTGGCCGACAGGCGCTAGGAGTATGCCAGGAAAAAGATCGCCGGAACAATGCCGCGCCGGAGAAACAACAAGCCGCTCAAGAACTAAGGGTGCTGGTAGGTTTCCCCATCCCATTACTGTGGCCCAAGTTAGGGAAAAGAATGGTTCCTAGAACCACAACAAAATGTAAACCGCCCAGAGACCCCTAAGGGGGTTAGGGCGGTATAGCAAATGTAAGGTAAATAAATAAATAAATATACTTTATTGGTTGTTCCTATAACTATTGGAGTGTTTTGTATACAGGAGGTCCTGTGCTTGAGTCGGACCGGATCGGGGTTAGGGCTCCCGCTTCCGACCTTCGATGGGGCACCTCTGGTGCCAGCTTCGGAGGCTAGGAGCTTGGGAGTGCTCCTGGACCCCATCTTAACGATGGAGACCCAGGTGGCAGCCACTGCCAGATCGGCCTTTTATAATCTTCGGCTGGTACGTTAGTTGGTTCCTTTCCTCAACCACAACGACCTAGCTACAGTGATCCATGCGTCACCTCAAGGCTAGATGACTGTAATGCTCTCTACATGGGGCTGCCTCTGTCGCAAATCCGGAAGCTGCAGCTGGTGCAGAATGCTGCGGCCAGGCTGTTGGTGGGCGCCCCTAGGTGGGAGCACACCCGACCTGTACTGAAAGCGCTGCACTGGCTGCCTATAGCATACTGGATTCGCTTCAAAGTCCTGGGGCTCACCTTTAAAGCCCTACATGGCCAGGGTCCGACATACCTGAGGGACCGCATTTCTCCACATATTCCCCAAAGAGCACTTCGGTCGGGGTCACAACACCGGCTGGTGACCCCGGGCCCCAAGGAGGCCAGGCTCCTATCTGGTGGAATGAGCTCCCGGAGGAGATCAGGGCCCTGCGGGACCTCGTGCAGTTCCGCAGGGCCTGTAAGACGGAGCTCTTCCCAGGCTTTCGAGTAGGAGCCGCTACCGCCGCTACCACCACTGCTCCAGTACGGAGCGATACCGCCGGAGGGCCAGGTAACATCTATCTACGGCCCTACCTCTCCCCTTCTGTTATGCAAGATGTTGGGAGTTTTAAAAAAATTGCATCTGATGGAATTGAATTTTAACTTTTTTATCTATTTACCGCCGCTGTGTTGTATGTCTCTTTAAGATGGAGTTGTATTGTTTCTACACACCTGAAAAGGATTAAGAGAGGCACTCCTCCCTCTCTCCGTTTTTAAGCCTTCTTCCCTGCAGGTCGGGGCTTGTATTATTGAGGATACTACTGAATAAAAGGAGTCACGGATCTGAACTGTGCTGTACTTGTGTGTAGTGACTGCGGGCCTCCTCCGGGCTAGGACGAGTTGCACCGCTCTCTATTAACAGACATTACATGGTGTCGGAAGTGGGATATTTGGCCAATTGCCTCCTCCGCTTTTATTACAAGGTAATCTTGCTGAAAACTGGAAGTGTTTCGTGTCTACTTAACAGCTACAGGAGCTGATCGTTTTTCAAGTAAGCAACAAATTGCTCTTTTTAAACTGTGTTGGTGAAGAGGCTGTGGCTTTGTATTAGTCTAGCCGTGGCCAGTAGTATTGCTGATAATTCTTTGGTGGTGCCTGTTCTTGTATTGTCCCAGAACTTGTGCTTCTTTACTCTTAGCTCAAGATGGACAGATGTGTCAGTCTCTCTGTAGATGTAGAAAAGAGCAAGAGCCCAGTAGTACCTTATTCTCACTTCTTCATATACCCATGGCTTCAATTCTTTTTGATTTAGAATTGCTCTCCAGTCCCTGGCTCTTTTGGGGACTACAAATAGAATGGAATGAATCCCATGGAAATGCTGTTCTAAGGGCCCTGGTTTCAGCACTGCCCCTATGTGCATTAAATGTTGAATAGGTCACCACAGAAGAAAAGGTGTCTCTGTTCTGTCTTGGGAAGTGGGGGAGCACAAAAGTGAGGGAACTGCTGGAATTGACCTCCAACCATAGAGTCAGGTGGTTGGTCTTTGTTTTGCTGGTTCCTGTCCTGTTTGTTAGGAGGGAGCGGTCTCTGATCTGAACCTATAGCCAAAGGTGCGGGAGCGCCTAAAGTCCTTTAGTTCCTTTTTAATGCTGATGAATCCAAAAGGGACAGAAGGTCCACCTTCCAATGATTTAGCCATAGGGTAATTCTAGCCACTGTATTGGTGGCCTGTGCTCTGGCAGTGAACTGCATGGCCTCTTGGGATGCGTCTGCTGCAAATTTTGCAGCCCTTTAATCTTTAGCATGGATCCCTTAAGGGTCAAGGGGTCAGTGTCAGGCTCTTGGAGGAGGTTAGCTGGCCAAATCATGATGGCCCTGGCAAAATCTGAGAGTATGGAGGGTGGCTCAGATTGTCAGAGAGACTGCTTCAGGGGATTCCATACGGCCATCTCATTATTATCGATAGTATTTTCATCCAGTGAATTGTTACATGTGTTGGCCACAGCCTTAGGCAGAACTGCTCCTGAATGTAAGACTACTACTGGAGCATCTTGCAGAGGGAACTGAGGTCTTTCATGTCACATTCCAGAAAGGCAAAGACCTTTTTATTTTTAATGCCTGCAAGAAAGTGCTGTTGCCTGGAACTCCCCATGCTTCCATTAGTATGTAATAAGTGGCGCAGGCAGTAAAAGCCTGCAAGTAACTCCATTAGTGAACAGCCATAGGCTGTTCGAGACCCACCACGGCCGGGGTGAGCTCCCGGCCCTTGTCCCAGCTCCTGCCCACCCAGCGGTTCGAAAGCTCTGCAAGTAGATAAATGGGTACCTGCTCTAGGAGTAGGGGGCATCCTCCTTCCTTCGGGGCGGTGTGCAGCAGGAGAGATGGTGGAAACAGCGGTGTGGCGGTGCGGCGTGGCAGAGACCCGGGGACTCGGCAGGAAGCATGGCGACCATCCGATGCAGAGCGGCAGCGGAATCCAGACGAGGATTGGACCGGAGGTTTGGTGATGCGGCGCGCAGCGCGACGGAGCCAACTGGACATAGATTGCAGCTGCAGCCGTCGCACAGCCGCGCACCGGGGGGGAAAGGTCTCACCAGAAGGAGTCGCTATGAATAAGAGCTGTGCCAAAAAACGCCGTGCCAGGAGGTGAAGTGCCCACCATGAAGGAACCGGGAGAAGAAAGAGAGAGCCCTGCTGCCTGGGTGCTGGTAGGCTGTCACCTTCCCCTGTATAATTGTGGCCCTAGATAGGTATAACTAATTACATGTAAACCGCTCCGAGCCTAGGGGAAGGAGCGGTATAGAAGTTGAACAAATAAATAAATAATTTTTTGGGGGGGGGAGATGGACACTTTAAGGACCCTTTGGATGGTCTCTCAAACCCTCTAGTCTAGTATCTAAATTAGATGAAGCCGATGATGTAAGTTTTTCTGTTGTATCCAACTGGAATTTCTCTGTTAACCTTTCCAAGGTCATTAATATTAAGATCTAGTTTTTAAAAGTAATGGTTCACTGGTACCGTACTCCACTGCAAATTCACCATACAAATTCATCCTACTCACCCATGTGTTGGAAACGATGTGGGTCTCCTGATTCTTTTTCTCCACTGTTGGTGGTCCTGCCATCTCATCCAAAATTTTTGGTCATCTATCTGAGACCAAATTTCTATCATAGGTCTCTCTATTCCATTACGCCTTGACTCACTGTTGCTAAACTTGTGAGATGATCCTCAAATCCCCCAAATTAAGAAAGATTTGATTTCTATATTATGCGCCACTGCGAAGTCTACAATCACCTCCTGGAAATCTCTCTCACCCCCAATTCTTAAGATTTGGTACAGGAACATATGGGATTATCCCACAATGGAAAGGACACTGATACAAACCTCAAATAAAGACTCTTACTCTGAAGTACCTATTCTTTTTATTAGAACTTTGTGATGTGATAATCTGTATTTGGCATACAACAGTTTATTGTCACTGATTTGTCTTTGTATCTATGTTAACTTTTCAATAAAAACCTAAAAAAAGAAACTGGAGGGTCAGCCTTGCTCCAAGCCAATAGTTTACCTGCCTGGTGTGAGAGGAGGCATGACCTGACCACTTTGGATGACTTCCCCCACTGAAGAAGAGCCTTTCTGAATCCGAGGCTCAGTCAGGCAACACTTCCATATTTCTCCCCTCAGCCAAGGAGGGAGAATGTGCCTCCATTCAGGCTGCCACACAGCCAAAGCCCTTGAAAAGAGCCCATGAATCCGAGGCTCTGTCACACCACACCTCACAAGGGAGGGTGCCTTCATTCAGGCTGGCAGGCAGACAAAGCCTTTGAAAATAGCTTTTTTGAGTCCAGCTCTATCAAATCATGCCTTCAGGGGAAATGGATAAGCATAAGGAACACAGATCCATCAGTGGCTGTTGGCCACAAGGTACAGATGGATCAAAATTACGTTTAAGTCAGTTTTGGTGACTGGGACCCTGGAGAAGGCCCTTGAAGAGCTACAAAAACAGTACTCTTAAGCAATATTTTTATTAATGGCCCTGGTGTGAGAGTTGGAGGTGGCCTTTTAAAGTCACCAAAAAGAATGGCAGGAGGGTCTCTCCAGAGAAGGAGGCTCCAGAGAACTCATAGAGAAGGGCTGCTTGGCCAGCATCGAAAAAGGCCACTCGTCCCCCAGTGTAGTTCAGGCACACTCGGATCCTCTTGAGCTCTCCACTCATAGTCAGGGAGGTATGACTGCCTTTTACAGTAGCCCTGTAGAGGCCCTTCCACTTCCCCACAGCCCACATCCCTCCCTCAGTACTAAAGGTAAGTTTTCCCTTTCTCCCCATGGACTTTCTGGCCACCCCCACCATCCATTCTTCCTCACTTCCCACACAGACTTCCCAGAAATGGCAGCCTGCTGTGAATCCCTCAAGGCCCAGGACTGCACCATATGAGTCAAATCTCTCAGGATTGCTGGGCAGAGCTTGAGCTTTGTCTCCTTGTCTCACACTTTTCTTATCCTCAGACAGGATGAGTGTGGGATAGGCCGTATCTGGATCCAGCATCACATTTGCTGCTGTTGGGGGGAGATGAGGAGAGAGAAGAGAAACAGATTCAGCAGGGAGACAATTGGATGATTTGTTTGACATACCCACGTAACACTATGGTTAGCATCCCCCCCCATAGTCTAGGATAGGCCGTATCTGGAGAAGCAGATTCAGCTGGGAGACAAATGGTAGAGTTGTTTGACACACCCACGTAACACTATGGTTAGCATCCCCCCCCATAGTCTAGGATAGGCCGTATCTGGAGAAGCAGATTCAGCTGGGAGACAAATGGTAGAGTTGTTTGACACACCCACGTAACACTATGGTTAGCATCCCCCCCCCCCCATAGTCTAGGATAGGCCGTATCTGGATCCAGCATCACATTTGCTGCTGTTGGGGGGAGATGAGGAGAGAGAAGAGAAACAGATTCAGCAGGGAGACAATTGGATGAGTTGTTTGGCACACCCACCTAACTCTAAGGTTAGCATCCCATCTATATCTGTTCCCTGTGAATCTCCTTGGCTGTTAGGACATTTATCTCACTTTGGCTTCTTCTGTTTCCCCTTTTCCTCAATTTAGTTTTTGCCACAGGTACTCCTTCCTTCCCCTGTCCTATTTAATGAATTCAGTCCCACCCTAAAGTCAGAACAGACTCCCTGGACTTGAAGACAGCAGCATCCCAAGTGACTACAGCCTGTCCCCCACATCCTCTATGAAAGAAGTACCCCGAGAAGCAGGATTATATATTTCATCCAACGTTATAAAGAAAAAAAATCATATGTGAAAGAGCACTTACACAAACACCCTGACCACACAAAAATGAGTAGATGCACAGAACGGATTGAACTAAGTGGATCTTAGACCTGATCCTAGATATGTCTCAAGCAGTGTTCCCTCTAAGTTGAGTTAGTGTGAGCTACCTCACAGTTGTTTAGGCTCCGGCTCACACATTTTTGTCTTAGCTCAGGAAGGATGGCTCGAGAGCAAACTAATTTATGCAGTAGCCAAATCACTCACTCACAACTTTAATGCCAGGAGCTCACAATGGAGAATTTTTGCTCACAAGACTCCACAGCTTAGAGGGAGCATTGGTCTCAAGAATGACATTTCTGCTAAAATTATTAGGATTTCCAGAGCTACTTTCAAGATTAGCATCTTTGTCTTTGGCCAGAATTTCTTAATCTCTGATTGAACAGGGAGCAGGCCTGAAATCTCAGCAAAAGAAGAAGAAAAAGAGGTTGGATTTATACCCCGCCCTTCAGTACCCGAAGGAGTCTCAGAATGGCTTACAGTCTCGTTTCGCTTCCCCTTCCCACAACAGACACCCTGCGAAGTAGGTGGGGCTATGAGAACTCATTCGAGAACTGCTCTTGAGAGAACAGCTCTGACAGAGCCATGACCAAACCAAGGTCACACCAGCAGCTGCATGTGGAGGAGTGGGGAATCAAACCTGGTTCTCCCAGGTTAGAGTCCACGCTCCTACCCATTACACCAAAGTTAGCAGCAGGTTGACAAAGGACTCACAAATATATCCTCTGCTAAACTCTGAACCAGCCTTTAATTATTACTTTCAAAATAAACCAAAATCCCTCCTTTCCTGTCATTCCAGGTGTCTCCCTTAAGCAAAATCTAAAACACCCCCATAATATTTTCTGTGCTTCACAGTGTAGGTACCTTGGAGGGATGGAAGAACAGTGTGATTTACATTCCCTGGAAACTTAACGTGAACCAAATATCTGTGACTTCTAGTGAGAAGCAAGTGCTTCAGGACCAAGCTACAAATGTCAGGACAGAAAGAAATAGTTCTTTCCACAGAGTGATTAAAATGTGAATTTTGCTGCCAGAGGGTGTTGTAATGGCTACAAGCACAGATGGCTTTAAAAGGAGGATTCGTCCAGGATAGACCTCTCAGTGGCTACTAGCCATAGTGACTAAAGAGAACCTGCGTGTTCAGAGGCAGTAAAACTCTAAAAATATCAGTGCCAGGAGGCAACATCAGGGGAAGGCCACAGCCTCTATGCCCTGTTGTTTGCCCTCCAGAGTAATTCACTGGCTGCTGTGACAGACAGGATGCTGGATTAGATGGGCCACTGGTCTAATTCAGCAAGCCTCTTTTTATGTTTTTGTGAGATGAAAGGACACAGTTCACCCCCTCAGAGTTCACCTTCTCTGCCATCCTGAGAAACCCTGTCAGGCCTCCTCAGAACAAAGCATTGAGGGTCTGGCTACAGCAGGGAGGGTGCAATTTTGGGGGACAAAACAAGAAGGCCCAGGTAAACTTGATCACTGGAGAAGAATCAAGTACAGGAACACAAAAGCTTTTTAATTTAGAAATAGTTGACTTGTACATAAAGTGTACCTTTCTGCAGGTCAAGTCCAGAATCCAGAGTGTCTGAGGAAGGAAGAGCAATAAAAAGTAAGTAGCTGACCCTTGTGCATATCATACATTTTTGCAACAAAAATATCAGTTAACATTTCCCCCCAGTTTCGACTGAAAGGTTAAGGAGAAGCAGCTTCTAGGGAGATTCCTCCCCCAGATTTTACTTCTGTGCAAATATTAAGATTGGTTCCATTTAATGTGAGTTCATTTTTCATTCCTAATTATGGCCGCTGTTGGACTGAGAAAATAAATGGAAAATGTATCTGTGACGTCCTCCTTATTAGGGAGGTCTGGTTTCCCTTTAAAAGTGTTCTTTATTTTGTTCTACTAGGGTATATCCGGCTGCCACCAGGAAATTTAAGGCTTTCCAAACCTTTATACTTTACTGTTGCTCTTACTATCTTGGTAGACCGAGTACAAGGCTTACGAGGAACTATGTGATCCTGAGGAAGTATTCCTTTCAGAGCTTGTATACTTGAATAAAAAAGGATTTATTGAAGTAATTCATAAATAAAAGGGTAGAACAAAGTAACCAGTAGGGAGTAAATCATGAACAAATGCTTAGTGTATCACACACAATCTGCTCCCTTACTGACAGGGATCTTTCAGGTAACTCTGCAACACTTTAACTCAAGGTCATATATGTTCACTGTTTCTCTCCAGGACATACAGCCTTTCCTATAACTTGTCTTCAATTAAGCTTTCATTTAATTTTTCCTATTCTCTCAGCCTTCCTTCTGCTTCTCACTTCCCTCACACACCGAACTAACTGCTTGTCTAACTCATTCCCCACACAGAACTGCTTGTCTCTCTTTTCACACACAGAACTAACTTAACTTATCAACTGTCAACATGTAACTGTAACTCTTGACTGACATACATACTCATCCACTCATTTTCACTTCCAAAACCCCACCCCCTCTCTGTCAACCACCAATCATACCACGCTCACTTTTCTCAACCAGTCTAGTCTACTTACCACAGCCATGCAACCAAACTTTTAAAGAGACACACATACACATAAAACAAGGAATCGCCACAGTATCAAATTTGGCAAACTGACACTTCACTCTCCAAAAAGGAGACCAAGAGTAATCCTGAACATGATTATCCAAAAGTTAACTGCTTTGAGATACTTGAGAGTTGCTTCACAAAAGTATGCTAAGGCCCGCAACCCAAGGGTCCAGTCCAGATAAGCTTAGGATGCTTTCATACAGTGGTTTTGCTCCCATTTGGCAACCAGAATGGAGCAGGGAAGTTTTGAGATCTGTCCTGCTTTGCTCTGGACTGCACCAAATCCTGAGTATTTTGTCTGAACCCCTGGCTTTCATTAAAAAAAGTCTCCAGACTTCCTTGTTATGGAGATACTAAAGGGAAAGTGAACCCCTTTTTCTCTGCAATGAAATCTGCTAGAGACTTTTAATGAAAAAAATAAAAACTGGGTATTCAGAGGAACCAGGAGATCATAGCAATGTGTTATAGCAATTAGAATTTTTAAGGGATCCGGCTGCATATTTCCCCTTATATCTAGGCAATGAAAAAGGCTAGAAAGTTACTTTAAAAAAATCATCAGTCATGGAAATAGATGTTTATAGTGTCCATCCGCAATAATGATTAGTCAATTAGCAATTAGAGAAATCCTCCCTGGGGGAGGGACCTGCAGTAATATGTGGACAAGAAAACTGCTGTCTGGAGATGAAATATTTTCTCATATGTGGTGGACATGAACAAAGCAAGACAATATTGGACAAAGGTCCACAAAGAGATACAAAGGTATTAATATTTAACTGTGATGGACCCAAAAACTATATTATTAAATATCTTACCAAGCAACATCACAAGAATCCACACTGGACTATTTAAATATATGTTAACAGCAGCAAGGGTAGTATTTGCGTCTAAATGGAAAGCTGAAAAATGTCCAGAATTGACAGACTGGAAAAACAAATTGACTGAGTATGCGACAATGGCAAAACTAACATCCTATCGCCACAACAGACTCAGGCCCCGGTCACACGGAGCAGTAGCCACGCTAGAGGGACGGAAGATAGGTGGATTTTCCGGGTGCGATCTCACCGGCACATCTGGGAAGCATCATGCTCCCGTGGCGCAACCGAGGCTTCCTGTCGAAGACGCACAGTAAAAAACTAGTACCTCGGAGGTACTAGTTTCCTGAAACCGCGGGCCAAGGGCGGGCGTCTGATCGCATTTCTGGAGGTGGTTCCGGCGGCCACCCATGTCCCCTCGGAAAAAGGGTTTTTTTTTCAAAGTCTCCACAGATGCGCACACGCACCCAAGGGAGCATGCGCACATTTGATTTTTTTTAAAAACAACCAACCCGTTTGCCCCGCGCCCCGCTTCTTTGCCGCGCTGCAGGACTGTGGAGTGATCGGCACCTCCACCCTACCACGGGACCTCGATTGGTAGGTCTGCTCGAGCAACCGCGCGGTTTTTAGCCCTGTGGCTAACAGCCATGTTTTCCCCCCGCATTTTCCTGCCCGTGTGACCGGGACCTCAATTTAGAATTTCAAGAAAAATTGAAGTATGTTTTTGTTCATGAAAGAGGGTTGTTTATGTGTAAATGTAGCAATGTTTTGTATACATACTTTGTCTTGTTTTCTTTTGTTAGTATAAAATTTAAAAATGAGCACCAAAAAAAGAGAAGAAAACTGCTTATCTGGGTGCTCTGGGTTCACAGGGTTTATGAAGGCATCAACGGAGAACTGTTGCTAGGGGAAGCAGCCCCCGACTCGCTGGGCAGGTAAAACGACTGTGGGGAGAAGAGCAAAACTGGAGACTGGAGAGCAAGAGGATAGAAGGGGGCCCAATTTAAGGGTTCTTTTCCAGATTAGAGAAGGGAAGGAAGGAAGGCATCACTGCACGTCTCATCCAGAAGTTCGACCAGAATACTCAGCCCTCCCTTAGTTCAAATTCAATACAAGAATTTATTTATTTTATATAACATTTCTACACTGCCTCTACAGGAAACTGCTCAAGGCTCAAAAACATTTGCAGACCAACTTGAGAGCTGTTACTACCAGAAGTAAATGACATGCTACATTTTTCTCCCAACATTTTTCAAGACAAACAAGGTAGCGAAGATGGGGTTCCTAGTGGCCTTCCAGCCAGGTATTGGCCGTATGCAGACATGTTTAGCTTCAGAAACAGAATGTTTGGCCTTCCCGTGCAGAGTTACACCCTTCGAAGTCCAATTATTTCAATGACTCAGAAGGTGTCCCTCTGCTTAAGAGAGCACTGCCAGCCCCCCCCTTGAGACCATCCTGTGGACTCCACTAGGACCCACTCAGTCCAAGGGGCCAGTTGTGAGAGGTCCAATGTGGCCACGGGCATAGATGGGATCAGGAGGGTGTCTCCATTAAGTGAGGATGTCCTGAAGGGTCCGATCCCTCCCCTCTCTTCCATTTTGGAGGCTCATTCTGTCCCGACCTCTCTATCCAACAGTGCACGGACACATAAATGACCAGAGATCAAAATGCAAACCATTGTAAGAAAATACAGAGAAGACAATGGTATGCTAAGGCCGCAGAAGGAATTTTGATCAGAAAACATTCCATGGTGAACTCAAATGGCCTCTGGAATTGGCACACAAATTTCCTGTCCGCCTGGCCCTGCGTATGATACAAGGGACCCAGAATGTTCCATATTCAGATCTGGCCTCACCTCATGACCTCTCTGGTAAAAAGGTAAAGGTTCCCTTGCTCGAAAGCCAGTCGAATCCGACTCTAGGGTCGTGGTGCTCATCTCCGTTTCAAAGCCAAAGAGCCAGTGCTGTCTGAAGACATTTCCGTGGTCATGTGGCCGGCATGACTAAACACCAAGGCGCACGGAATGCTGTTACCTTCCCACCGAAGTGGTACCTATTTATCTACTTGCAATTTCTTGCTTTCAAACTGCTAGGTTGGCAGGAGCTGGAACTAGAGACAGCTCACTCCGTCATGCGGTGCACTCAGGTCTCAAACTGCTGAACTACCGACCTTCCACAGCCGGCAGTTCAGCGTCTTAACCACTTGAGCCACCGCAGCTCTCTGGAGCTGTTCTTTATTACCTTTCCACTGCTTCATGACAACGTCCAGTGAGTGATTGATGTCACAGAAGTCCCAGATCCTCCACTTCAATGTCAGAGGAAAAGTCACTGGATTTTCAAATGTCTTCTTTTCTTCATACCTGGAGACAAACCATGTTAAGCCACCGCCTATCCAATCCAGAATTCCTAGTAGTAGAGCAATGAAAAAAAGGCAGGAATAACCAGAAGGCCTAACTGGCGGATGCTGAAAGCTCCTCAGAGGAAGGCCAAGATAAAAATGTGACAGATAGAAAACATGTCAACTTGCTCGTTTTCTATCCACTGGCCTGTATGTATTCACAATTTGCCATTTACAAACGGATGGAAATCTGCAATCTTAGTCATAGCCAATGCTCCCTCTAGGCTGGGGAGTCTTGTGAGCAAAAAATCTACTTTGTGAGCTACTGGCTTTAAAGTTGTGAGCGAGCCATTTGGCTACTGCATGAATTAGTTTGCTCTGGAGCCATCCTTCCTGAGCTAAGACAAAAATGTGTGAGCCGGAGGCTAAAACACTGTGAGCTAGGTCACACTAACTCAGCTTAGAGGGAACATTGGTCATATCTGTCACGGTCCTGGGCCTGAAGGGCCACTTTCTTCACATGCTACCCAGATCCATCCCAGCATCAGGAGGGTCATGAGACAGAGGGATCCACTTACCTCTGCAAGGTGCTTTGGGCATCCTAAAGAAGGGAAAAGAAGAAAAGTCAACAAGTGCCATGGGCCAAATTGGGAAGACACCCCCACCCCCTCAGATCCTGGAGGGCCATGCATTCTAGCTCCTTTTATTGTGTGTCCAACTCAAGGACGGGGGCTGGATCTTTATCATAAAGCAGGAGAACTTCTTCATGAGGGAATGACATTAGCAGCCACAGTGAAGCCATTTCAGAGGACAGCTGGGTGATCTGTTGCAGAAGAGCTTGCGTGCAGCTCGCATTTCTGGTTGTTCTGAAGAGCTACCCATGAAATCTCAAATTAATTGCATCAGTTGCTCAAACATACAAATACATATACAAAAACACACAAACTTCGAAGATTCCTCCATCCACCGTCTTCTCCTGTAGCTCCCTAACAACTCAACTAAGAGCCACCCCTTCTTCTCCACTACCACCACTAGTGCCATCCCAGAGCTTCCCCTGGACCTCTGGTCAGTCACAAACTGTTTAAAATGGTGCCACATTCCCTACTGAACAAGAGAAGCACCAACAAAGGGTACTTCAATGCCTTTCTGGAACAGAGGCATCAGCGAACTCCACCCTCCCCAGTCCCCACACCACCAACATTATGAGTTACAGCCTCTTGATTCTCAGCTGAGCAAAGGAGGGCTCTATAGCAGGGGTGTCAACGGTGTGGCCTGCAGGCCGCATCTGGCCCGCACAGAGCTCAAAAACGGCCCCCAAGCAACTTCCTTCTCCTGCTTCCTTTCCCAGGGCTGCTGCTACAGCTGCACCCTAGCTTGCTTTCCCCCCAGCTCTCTCAGTGGCTCTTTGCTTTCTGCTTCTTGCCCCCCTCCCTCTCTCACACAAACACACACAGAGATAGTGCCTCATGGCTGTTTTGTGCCAGAGAGATAAAAGGACAACCCCCACCACCACCAGATTGCCTCTGCTTTCTTTGCCAGGCCCGCTCCTCCTCTTTTTTGGGGGGGGGGGGAAGAGAGAGAAAACAAAATTGGATTCCCAGCTTTAAGACCAACAATGTTTTATTCCAGATATAAGCCTTTGTGTGCAAGCACACTTCTTTGGAGAGATGGAGGGAGGGAGGGTACATTATGGAAATTATTCTGGCTTATTCTGAAAAGTTGTTGGGTTTTTTAAAAAAATGATTGGATTTCTCTGTTTCTATCTGGATTTATTTTCTTTCAAAAAGACCCCGATTAGGAATTAGAAAACTTGGATTAGTCCTTGGAGAGTGGAATGATTTCAGATGCCAAATGATAATAGCACACATTGGTAATGAAACAAGAAAACTAGGTCTCAATCCAGTCCAGAAGGATATAATTCAGCAGTCTCTCTTTCTAATCTCCCTTTGAAATTCCTTTGTAAGATCACTGCTACTCTTAGGTCAGAAACAGAATGTTGTGGTTTCTAATGTCAGACTTATGTCCATTTATTCTTTGCATCCTCCTGGACTGAATCCTCCTGGAGTAAACGGAGACCCAGGTTTCTTGTCTCATTACCAATGCTGATATCTCCACACCTACTTCCCCTCTGCATATCACATCTAATCCAATCATGCCTGCTATTGCCATTTGGCATCTGAAATCATCTTTATAAAGTTTATATCTCTGGTACCTTGTGTTACATTTTATAGCATGCGTGGCCTGGCCCAACAAAGTGACATTTATGTCACATCCGGGCCTCATAACAAATGAGTTCAACACCTCTGCTCTAAAGAAAAGCAGAAGCCAAGAAAGGGTCTGGAGCCAACCTTTTCCCCAAGGGGACCCTGCCTGTTCCTGCCACCCCCTCACCTGCAGGAGTTCATTGGCTGACTGCTGACACTTCTCCTCCATCTCCCGGATGAGGCTTTCCATAGAGGAGTGTTCCTCAGAGAGTTCGGCCAGGTGCTGGTCCCTTTTCTTTGCCACCTCCTCCTCCACCTCTTCCATCTGGGCCAGCAAACATTTCTCCTGTTCCTCCAGAAATGTGTGCAGTTGCCTGAACTTGGTTAATGTCTTTTGCTTCTCTCCTTTGGTTTGCTTCTGAGATGGGAAAATAAGAAAAGCAGACCAGTGTTAGGAACACAGCTGGCCTCTGCAGTGGGAAAGGGCACTTCAGTTAACTCCTATCAGAAGGGTACTTATGCTTTTCACAGGGAACAAAATTAACATGGGGAAGAGAAAGGAAAGAGAAGGATTCCTAAGGACTCATCCTTAAGACCCAATGAACACATGGATCTCACTCAAACTTCTGGAGGGGTTATATCAGCCACAGAGGATTAAGTCTGTAGCAGAAGACCCAGAGAGTAGAAGGGGTTTCTTCAGTCCGTTTGTTTCCCCACTAAAACACTGCCCACATGCTCACCCCTCAAACTTCCCAACAAGGGATGAGATACGATGTTTGAGTGGAAATACCACTGGGGAGAAAAGAGAACATAAGAACATAAGAGACGCCAATGTTGGATCAGGCCAAAGGCCCATCCAGTCCAACACTCTGTGTCACACAGTGGCCAGAAATACCAGTGCCATCAGGAGGTCCAGCAGTGGGGCCAGGACATTAGAAGCCCTCCCACTGTTGACCCCCCCCAAGCACCAAGAAGACAGAGCATCACTTGCCCCAGAGCCCCTATCTATACCTTGTGGCTAATTAACCCGACCGCTCTGCAGTTTCATGGAGTGCCCACGAGTTCTTGTATTGTGAGAAAGGGAGAAAAGTACCTCTTTCTTTACCTGCTCTTTCCCATGCATAATCTTATAAACCTCGATCATGTCACCCCTCAGTCGTCTTTTCTCCAAGCTAAAGAGCCCTAAGCGCTTTAACCTTTCCTCATAGGGAAAGTGTTCCAACCCTTTTATCATTCGAGTTGCCCTTTTCTGCACTTTTTCCAAAGCTATAATATCCTTTTTAAGGTGTGGTGCCCAGAACTGCACACAGTATTCCAAATGAGGTCTCACCATTGATTTATATAGGGGCATTATTATATTGGCTGATCTGTTTTCAATACCCTTCCTAATAATCCCCAGCATAGCATTGGCCTTCTTTATTGCAGTCACACACTGTCTCGACATTTTCAGTGAGTTATCCACTACAACTCCAAGATCTCTCTCTTGCTCAGTCTCTGCCAGTTCAGACCCCATCAATGTGTATTTATATTTAGGATTTTTGGCTCCAATGTGCATCACCTTGCACTTGGCCACATTGAACCCCATTTGCCATGTTGACGCCCACTCGCCCATCCTTGACAGATCCCCTTGGAGTGCCTCACAATCCTCACTGGTTTTCACCACCCTGAACAACTTTGTATCATCCGCAAATTTAGCCACTTCACTGCTTACTCCCATCTCCAAATCATTAATGAACAAGTTAAAAAGCAGTGGACCAAGTACTGATCCCTGCGGTACCCCACTGCTTACCACCCTCCACTGAGAAAATTGCCCACCTACACTCACTCTCTGTTTTCTATGAACTAGCCAGTTTTTGATCCATAAAAGGACTTGTCCTTCTATCCCATGATTTTTGAGCTTACTTAGGAGCCTTTGATGAGAAACTTTATCAAAAGCTTTCTGGAAGTCAAGGTAAACAATATCTATTGGATCCCCCTTGTCCACATGTTTGTTCACCCCCTCAAAGAACACTAACAGGTTAGTGAGACAAGATCTTCCCTTACAGAAACCGTGCTGAGTCTGCCTCAATAGGTTTTGTTCATCTATGTGCCTACTAATTCTTTCCTTAATAATGGTTTCCACCAATTTACCCGGTATCGACGTCAGACTCACTGGCCTGTAATTTCCCGGATCTCCTCTGGAACCCTTTTTAAAGATGGGAGTGACATTAGCTACCTTCCAATCCTCAGGAATGGAGGCAGATTTTAAGGAAAGATTACATATCTTTGTCAGGAGATCCACAAGTTCACATTTGAATTCTTTCAGAACTCTCGGATGTATGCCATCTGGGCCTGGTGATTTATCAGTTTTTAAGTTGTCTATCAGTTTTAGGACCTCCTCTCTCGTCACCTCAATCTGACTCAGGTCTTTCAACTCCCCTCCTGAAATCAGTGGTTCTGGAGTGGGCAAGCACTTCTCAGCTTCCACAGTGAAGACAGAGGCAAAAAATGCATTTAGCTTCTCAGCCATTTCCCTATCATCCTTCAAAACTCCGAAGCCCGTTCCCCTCACTAAACTGCAGCTTCCCTAGTTGCATTTTGGGCAAGGAAAAAAAAAAACTTTAAGAGAAAAAAATCAGCATGTCACTGTACGTCAAGTACTCTCCCCCTTAGAATCAACAAACACCCTAGCTCAATTCAGGATTGGTGGGGTGTCTATCAGCATTTCCAGGAAGCCTTTCTTGGGAGGTGGGACACCCCTGACCTCTTTTCGGAGACTTCTCCTGGCTTGCAGTGTTGGTGTATGCACACAAATGGGACCTGGACACAGACGTTCATCTGCCGATGCTTCACCCCACAGCAGAGAGCACCTTGGGAAGCCAACTGATTCTGCCCCCCCAAAAAAACACCAGAGAGCAACAACAACAAAAGGTTCTAGATCCAGATGAAAAACCAGGGGCGGACTGCCCACCAGGTGGCCCTAGGCGATTGCTTAGAGTTCCAGAGAGCAGGGAGCCCCAGGGACACCAAGAGTGGGCAATTCTGGGGCACCCCCAGCCCAAGTACAACTCTGCTTAGAACTGCAATTTTAAGTTTTCCTTTGGGGGCCTGGTCTGCTGAATACTGATAATCTGTGAATGAAATGACCAAATTGGAAGGGGTGAGGCTCTCGTGTGAATGGATTTTTCTGCTGTTTGGACTTCATTTATCCCCCAAATACTAGTTCCAGAATCTCCTCACTTCCCAGCCAGGGTGACACTTACGAGCAGGTCTTGGCTTTCCTTCTCTACATCTTCTCTAGATGCTACGATTCTTTCTCTCTTCTTCTTCAGAACCTCCAGACAGCTGCTGAACTGATCCTAGGGGGACGGGGAAATGAAAACAGATTCTTTTTCCATTTTAGAAGTTTACTATTAAAATACACGAGAAGCAAAACTGTCATTAAGGGACAAACTCAATATAACTGCCCCATGTCCGTTAACAGGATCTTCAACATTTCCCAAATGCTAAACACAGCTCGCTTTCTCAGGGGAATGGTGTACCACTTCAATGCAGAAATATTCCCAGTGGCCAAACTGCTTCCTCAGGGAAAACTGACTCCATGATTTGCACACCATTCCACCCCTGCCACAGGAAGGTTTTGCATTAACAAAATATTATACATAGTCAGTATATCACTATGCTGTGTTAACACCACATAAATATACTGTGGCGTCCTCTTATTTGGGAGGACTGGTTTTCACTTTATATGTGTTCTTTGCTTTTGTAAACTGGGTATTTTCTGCTGCCACCAGGAATTTAAGGACTTCCAAACCTTCTCTCCTTTGCTGTTGGTAATGTGGCCCAGATTCTGGGCTTTTCAGGGATCTATGTGGTCCTGAGGAAAGATAGAACTGAATTCTGGGATAAACTTGAAAAAAAGATGATTTACTGAAATAAGAACAAAATATGAGGTTGGTCATTCTGTAACTGTTTGGGAATAAGGGACTTGTAGATATGTCTGTCAAAAGTATCACACACATTGCCTTTTTTTCTTTTTCTTCTTCTTTTGACACTCAGATCCAACACTAACAGGAACCATTCTTTCCTATAGGCAGCCACACAGGCTAAGCTTTTGGTAATTTTAACTTCCTTCCAGATCTTTAGAGTCTCACTTGGAAGGCATATATACTGTACTCTTTAAGATCCCACACAGAACTTTCAGAATCCTCACTGACTGAACTCACTGACTGACTCTCATTCAAAACTCCAACTGAATTGCTTCAAGACACACGCACTCTCATTCCAAACAACCCCCTCCCACACTCTGCCATCCACCAATCACATCACACTTGTCTCTCTCAATCACTCTACTAACATTGCACTCCAACCAAACATTTAAAGGAACACACACACAGTAAAACAAGGAATCATTACATATACCCTGTAGTGACAATTCTTTAAAAAGCAGCTAAAAGCTCACCGGGGAGGGGGGGCACGCTTGGGAGAATGCCCGGTGGGAGGGTAAATGGCACTGGATTGGGGTGGGTGGGTGGGTGGAAATGCATACTTTCTGGTCCACCCTTTCCCAAATCCTCTTTGATTATCTTCCAAGAAAGACCATATCAAAGAAGGGAAAGCTCTGTGTGGGAGCAACCACAGCTGCGGGAAGGAGGGGATTCCTTCCTTCCACAATGCAGCGAAAGGGCCGTGGCTGTGACAGAGCATCTGCTTGGCAAACAAAAGGTCCTGAGTTCAATGCCCGGCATTTACAGTAGAAATGAATAGGTAGCCGTTGATGTGAAAAGACCTTCCTCTGAGTCCCTGGAGAGCCACTGCCAGTCATAGTGAACCTGGACAGACCAAGGGTCTGTCTCAGAATAAGGCCACTTCATGCATAGCTCTCCCACCCCCAACCCCCAATGCTGTGTTCTTCTGATTTAAACTGCTACCTCACAGCTGCTGTGTGCAGGGGGGGGGGGACTAACACAGACAGGAACTAAATCTGCACAAAGTCTCCCCCAGCCAGGAGGCAAACAGACACTCAAGGACAGCAACTGAAATTGGGAAAGCAGTATTGTTGGGGAACTTCTCAATAAAGGAGGGGGTGACAGGGTTATCCGCGAACCCCCTTGAGTTCCCAGACCCAAGTTCCAATTTGGTGGGTGTGGCTGCATGGGCACTTCCTTGCCGGAGAGAGAGAGAGTCACAGACTGAAGTGTCATTCTTAGTTCAGTTTATTATGTTCCAAGTAGATATCAGATAGAATGCAGAAATACAGAAACCCACAGTGTACACCAAAATAAATAAGGAATGTATTCCAGCTACATATCAAGGTCCTTCGCATTGATAAGCCACCCCGACTACTAGTAAAACAGAGGTATATATCTTTCTTGGACCTATAGCTGCTAACGTACCTACTGATGCTCCTACTGAGCAGGACTACCTTGTATGTGACACAGGCCAAACTAGAACTGACCCAATGAACCAACCCGAATCCCTCCCCTTCTTTCTAACTCTGGGTTCAGGAAAGTCAAGTAAAGTCAGGGAAATCTAGGGTGACTCAGAGTGTCCAGGAAGCTAGTTTCAGATACCCTATCTATATAGAATTTGACAGTGTATAAACATTACAAAAGGCAAAAGTCATGCAAGGCAAAGATCATGTACAGTGTTATCTGTACCAGAAGGCCACAGAACCAGCAAATTCTGCAGCCTCCTGGGAAATAGAAACAAAGATTCAACCATAGAAGCTAATTTCTCTCTCTCTCTCTCTCTCTCTTTCTGTGTGTGTGTGTGTGTGTAAACTGGGTTTGACATACCTCTCTTTTTTTGTGTGGTTAGGTATGAAGTAGTTTTAAATCTCTTGTTTCTTTTTCTCAGTCAAAGTATCTATCACTGCCACCAGGAATTTAATTCCAGTCTTTAATTAACCTTTCCCACAGTATTGTGCCCAAGCTCCAAGGCTCCTTCGTTGGACTATGTGGTTCTGAGGATAAGAGTCTGGGGTAACAATTAACAAGATAAAACTTTATTGGTAAAAGAAGCGTATTGGTTACAAGATATTTTGTTAAGTTGCTTAGTAGAATCTTAGGTCTCTGTCAGCTTTTCCCCTCACACTCTTATATACTCTGACAATATTAGAATTTGCCTAAATTGCCCCCTTGAGTATATGTTCTTCCTCTTTTAGAGTCTTAAGGCCTTTCACAGCACCTCTATATGATTCTATTTGGAAGACTGTTTCTCTGACTTTGAAGATTGACCACAACTGACAGCTACTGACTGCTGACTTCATACTTCAGACTCAAAAACTGAACTCTCTGCCTTCTCTCTCCACACACACACACACACACACTTCCTAGCTCGTCCCACACACACTCAGTCACCAACCAATCACCTCATTCACTCATCTCCCTCTTTCAGCCAACTTGTTCTTCTGATACTTACCAACCATTTTAAAGGAACATACACTTATAACTTGAAATCATTACACTGGGAGTCAGGCGGTTGCCCCCTCCTAGCTCAGCCCTGCCACAGGCTGATCAGATGTTCACACAGCCAGAGAGGAAGGGAGTCCATCTCCCCACATCACCCCACTTTAGCCTCAGCAGGGGGGAAGGAGACAATGCCCAAGGGAGCCACCTAGCCGGGAAGGAGGCAGCAGAGAGACCAAGGAGAAGGGGCTCTTCCTCAGCATCCTCCACATTGTTGACTTCCTACCTTGTACTCTTGGGAGGCCTCCTCAAGAGGAAGAGTTTCGTGATTTCTGTGCTCCTTGGATCGGTCACAGACCACACAGATGAGGGCTTCGTCGTCCTTGCAGAAGAGCTTCAGGGGCTCCTGGTGCTTCTGGCAAACTCCCCCTTTTCGTACTGCCACGACTGCCTGATGCCCAAAACAAAAAAAGAGGATTCATTTCCCCTCCCGAGAACTGTACCTCCTCTTGTAATTACTGGATATAATTACTGCCTTGTTCAGTTTTTCAAAAGAGCTGGATGTGTAACCAAGTGTTCTCTGTGGGTTTGCCCTCTGTTGGAGTTGGGGGGTGGTGTTTTGTCTGTGTGAGGGACTGAAGAAGAAAGGGAGTTCTGAGCAGGACTTCATTGTGACTTTTGTGGGCCCCCTAGACACTTTTGCCTTCGTGGGCCCTGCCCCCTTCCTCCATTAAAAATATTTTAAAATTAAATTTTACGACTGTATTGGTATAAAGGTAAACATAATCCAGCCTGGATTATATGCATTTTATATTTGTAGTCCTAGTATGCATTAGGCTTGCCAAATGTCCCAGGCGTGGCTAAACCCCACTGCCCTGCCGTTCATCAGCTGGCCGGCGAAGGGGACTTATCCCGCAAATGACCCAGGCCCTACTGAGGTCGCTGCAATGTCTCTACCACAGAGTTTTTGCCCAAATGTAAGAGCAAGAAGTCTGTGCACGCTCTCAGCCAGTGCTGCACCAGTTGTCCTGGCTGCCAATTGAATACCAGATTTGATTCGAGGTTATGGATTTAACCTTCAAAGCCCTATGTGGCCAGGGACTGGCATATCTATGGGACCCTCTCTCCCCATATGTGCCCTTGCACTCCATAGACCAACATCTCTTGATAGACCCCAGCCTGAAAGACGTTTGCTTAGCCTCAACCAGGGCCAGGGCCTTTTCTGCCCTTGGTTTTGGGCCCGGTTCTTTTCAAACTCCTTGACCCTCCCCACAACAGGCACCCTGTGAGGTAGGTGGGGCTGAGAGAGCTCTGACAGAAACTGCTGTTTTTCAAGAACAGCTCTTATCAGAACTATGGCTTACCCAAGGTCATCCAGCAGGTGCAAGTGGAGGAGTGGGGAATCAAACCGGTTCTCCCAGATTAGAGTCCGCACACTTAACCACTACACCAAACTGGCTCCTGGAGTAGCTATTCAACAAGATCTGAATACTCTGGAGAAGTGGGCAGTTGCAAACAGGATGCAATTCAACAACGATAAATGCACAGTATTACAACTAGGCCACAAAGATGTCAAGCACAAATACTGGATGGGGGATACATTTCTGGGGAGCAGTGTATGCGAAACATATCTTGGGGTAAGAGTGGAATGTAAATTAAATATGAGCAGCCAGTGTGATGCAGTGGCAAAAAAGGCAAATTCAGTCTTGGGTTGTATTAAAAGGGCCATACCATCAAAATCGCAGGAGGTCATAGCCCCTCTGTATACTGCCTTGGTCAGGCCACACCTTGAGTACTGTGTGCAGTTCTGGAGGTCTCACTTCAAAAAGGATGGGGAGAAAATTGAGAGGGTGCAGAAGAGAGCGACAAGGATGATCAGGGGTCTGGAGACTGAGCCCTATGAGGAAAGGCTAAGGGCCTTGGGAATGTTGTTTGGAGAAAAGGAGATTGAGGGGAAACATGATTGCTGTCTTTAAATATTTAAAGGGATATCATCTTGAGGAGGGCAAGGAGCTGTTCCAGTTGCAGCAGAAGATAGGACCCAAAGCAACGGGCTTAAATGACATGCAGAAAGGTATCAGCTGGATATTAGGAAAAACCTTTTCACGGTCAGAGTGGTTCAAAGGTGGAATCAGCTGCCTAGGGAGGTGGTTAGCTCCCCTTCACTGACAGCTTTCAAGAAGAGGCTGGACGAATCTTTGTCAGAGATGCTTTGGGCTGGTCCTGCATTGGGCAGGGGGCTGGACTAGATGGTCTGTATGGCCCCTTCCAACTCTATGATTACCTGCTCATTTTAAACTTGTCTTAGTTTCTATATTTAATGCTTCTGGGATAGGGCAGGATATAAATAAAATAAATAAATAAAAACTGTGCCGAGGCTAAGTGGGCCTTCTATCTGCCATCATTCAGTTGGTGCCTGTGGCTGAGACCATACTGGCCATACAATTTACAGCCACTAACCCTCTCACTATAGTACAAAATAACAGTGCATATATCAAAGTGTTCTCTGTTTTGATTATCTATATAACTAATACCGAAAGGCGCCCACTGCGTGCGGATACCTAAATCTGCACATCGGGGGCACCTGGGGGGGAGGGAGATTTTCGTGCACACTTGGGGCAGTCCCCAGGTGTGCACAAAAATCTAAAAACCCGAAAAAATATCAGGTGGATACTTAAATCCCCCCAAAAGTGACAGAGCGTCCCCTGCGCATGCGCTGGGAACGCTCTGCGAACTCCCTGACCGCCGCCTGGGGGGGGCCTTCGCTTCGGAGCGGGGGGGGGGAAGAGCAGCTTCGGAG